TGGCCCAGCCTAAATCCTCTTTGTTCCCTGCCAGCAGAGAAACAAGACATGTGAGCGGCTGAGCTGGGAAGGATGTGAGGAGTTAGGCGAAGGAGGAAGGGTTCCAAGAAAATACCTCTGTGGTTCTATTTTCTGCTCTAGAATCCACAGCCCCAGTGCTCAGACAGGGACGTCCACCACCCCCTAAACACTCCGGTCCTCCCTGCCTTTGGTGTCATTGCCGCTCTCATCACGCGGTCTTAGAGGCCACTACCTCGCTGGACTTGTTGCCTCTCACACATGCCCTGCCCATTCCTCACCCAGGCCACATGCACGTGGCTCTCTCTCCCACTCAGAATGCACCAACTGGGGAGCAGAAAAGGGAGCCCCATATGATGAATTATCTTTGAGGACCTACTGAGTTTGAACCCCAGTCCCATCTCCCACCCGCCGAGGGACTTGGAACCCACTGGGACTTGACTGCTGAGCCTCAGTTTTCCTCATCTGTAAATGAGTCCCATGCCGCTCATTATCTTTTCTCCTCATCTGTCTCGCTCTTTACTGTCCGTGGTTGTTATCTGCTTTTCTGAGGGCAGAGCATTTTTAGGGGTTGATTGTTAAGGAAACTGAAAATAAGGAGTGGGCCGTTCACCCCTCTGGTCCATCAGTCAGTCAGGGTTCGCTGAGCACCGCCCTGACCGAGCCCGGGACCAGGGATGCGGGGAACAGCCTTTATGCTAAGAGCACAGCCTGTGAAATCAGGCAGACATGGAGCTGGATCCCAGCATGGGCACTAACTACCTAATTTGCTGCCCTGTGACCTCTCTCCTTTGTCCCGTCTGCCCTCTGGAGGCAACAGAACAGCTCTTGGCATCTCCACTGCACTCCCCGGGCAGTGCTGCCTCAGGGAGCCCCCAGGTTAGGGTGTCTGACAAACACCTGGGGACAGAGCCCTGGCTTCTGCATCCCTGCCTCCCGCAGCCGCCATGCGGTGATGAGCAAGCAGCTCAGATGAGCCAGAGGCACCGATGGGGTGACTGCCTATTTTGGCACCTTCTTGGAGGAAGCGTTCAGACCAGAACAAGGAAGGAGTGACAACAGCTGGGCGGGGGTCCTTGGGGGGGAGGAGGTTCGGGGCCAGGTTGGCGTGGCCCATGGGGGCACTGCACCCACAGGGCAGGAGCAGCAGGGGCCCAAGCTAGGAACAAGGGTCAGCAGTGGTGTGGCTCTGCAGAAAGCATCCCTGCCACATCTCCCTCCCCGCCAACTTAGGAGAGAGAGGCACTCCTGGAGACAGAACTGGCAAGCTCCATGCTGGCTGCTGCAGCAGGAAGAGGGGAAGAAGTCAGGGGCCAGAGAAGATCAGGAATGGGTGCTGCATAGTTAGATGCTTAAGCTTTGGAAGACCCATCGTGGGTGAGATGTGGCAGAGGATGGTCAAGACGGTCTGTCAGCTCTGGGAGGGCTCCCCATCAGCCTGAGGAGTGACGGCTAGCCAACCCCTTAGCCTTCGTTGGGCCCATCGTGTGTGCTTTGGTGCCCTCCTGTGGATTTTTTTGGTGCATGCATAAGGCTGGCAATGGGTTTTACCCACATTTTAACCCTTTCTTTTTACTCTTCTCCCTGCACCACCCCTTCCTGGTAAATGACACCTGCAAAACCGCAGGCCTGCTTAGGCAATGACATCAGTCGTGGATATCACGGGATATCACGAGATTCATCTCCCAAGCAGCATGAAGGAAAGGACTTACTGACACACGATTATGTTTGTCTGATCCTGGGCAAATGTTAATAGTCATCAATGAAATCTGACTCATTCACACTAGAAGAAAAAAAATAGCTTCCCAAGTTGTCTGTATTTCTCACTTTTATTATTATGTTTTGGGGTGCATGTCTGGGGTCCTCAGAGTTTGTAACTCACCCACCAACCAAATGCCATAAACATTTTTAGGGGTTGATTGTTAAGGAAACTGAAAATAAGGAGTGGGCCGTTCACCCCTCTGGTCCATCAGTCAGTCAGGGTTCGCTGAGCACCGCCCTGTCCGAGCCCGGGACCAGGGATGCGGGGGACAGCCGTGCCTTCATGCTAAGAGCACAGCCTGTGAAATCAGGCCAACATGGAGCTGGATCCCAGCTTTGCTTTCTACAAACTTTGTGACACTAAACAAGTTATTTACCAAGTCTCAGTTTACTTGCTCAAATAGTTAGGGATGATAGCATCTCCCTCATAACACTGGAGTGTGGATGAAATGAAATGATGTAGGAGAGCGCTCAGCTCTTAGAGTTTCCACTGCTGCCCTCAGTACATGGAGTGACCACCAAGTCTGGGAACAGACGAGAATGCATAATAGACGGCTTGCTGACATTTCGTTACAATACATAATAAAATAACATCATCTATGTTTCCAGACTTTACCCTGTGTTCATCCCTGCCCTCGATGAGTTTTCAGTCTAGAGCAGTGGGTCTCTATGGGTGGTCTGTGGACCAGCAGCATCAGCATAACCTGGGGACCTGTTATGAAATGCAAATTCTCAGACTCTCTGAATGAGAAACTCAAGGGGTGGGGACAGGTAATCTGTTTGAGCAAGCCCGCCAGGAGATTCTGATGCACACTCAAGTTCGTGAACCTCTGATCTAGGGAAAATGACAACGTGTAAACAAGCAATTACAATACAGGTGGGCTTCCCTGAAGAAGTGATGTAATGAGCAGTCCTGAAGGAAGAGCAAGTGTTCACAGGTGGACACAAGTCAAGCTAGAGAAGGGATTAGCTCTTGCAAAGGCTGGGAGGCATGGAAGACAGGCGACTGTTGAGGGAGCCTTAGAATTCAGTCTGGCCAACTGGGGCCTGTGGGGGGCGACGCTGGAGAAGGAAGGCAGGAGCCAGAGTATAAAGCCCTTTCTCGTGCCTCAGTTTACACTATAACTGAAAGCATGAAAGACTTGTAATGGACAACAGTATGACCAAATTTGCATTTTAGAAAAAAGCATTCTTGTACAGTGTGGCCTGGAGGCGGGAAAGTCCGTTGGAAACTGCTAGAATGATCCAGGTGAGAGCCCACATGGGCATGAACTCAGGTAGCGGCCATGGGATGATGAGAGGTAGGTGGGCTGAGAGAGATCTAGGAGGACTGACACACCTGGAGGGGAGGGGCCTGAGGCTGCCTCTGGGGCTTCTGCCTCGGTGGCACCTCTGGCGGAGATGGGACAGGTGTTGGTGATGGGGAGGCAATGAGTTCAGGACTGGACATGCTCTGGGCTGGTAGCTGAAGCAGGAGTTAATTATGCCTCTGTCGTTTATCGCCCACTAGTTTTCATTCATTTATTTCAGCAAATATTGGGTCCCTACCATATGCCAGGAAGGTTCTAGGAGAGAGGGGGACACAAAATAGCCAGAATCTGCTCTCAGGGCTGACATGGCAGTGGGGGGTGGGGAGGACGGGGAACACCAGCAATAAATACATGAACAAAAATCTTTCAAGTCGTAGAAGGTGCAATGAAGGAAAGTAAGAAGCAGTGAGGAGGATGGGGGGCGAGCTTCTGATGAGGTGGTCAGGAAAGGCCCCTCTGGGAAGATATCACCTGAGCTAAATAATAAGTAAGAGCCAGACGGGTAAAAGTAGGAGGAAGGTGCTCCCAAGAAGAGGGAACAGCAAGTGCAATGGTCCCAAGGTACGAATGAACTTGGTGTGACAGAGGGGAAAAAAAGGTAAAAATCACCACACATGGCCGGCTATGAGAGATGAAGTAAGGGCCAGACCATAGTAGGTGGAAAGCTTTTTGTGACTGATAAGAAGGGATGGTTCATGTGAAAATGTTCAGACACTGATCTTGAGAACCAAATGTACATAAGGGAATCTAAGACGGTCTCTTTAAAGAGCAAAGGAGAAATGTCTTTACTGAAGCAAGAAGGATTTGGGTTCAATTTCAGGGAAAGCTCAGGTTATGGGAGCCATGAGATATTAGAACAATTTCCAAAAGAGATAATTTGTCACATTTTTTACAAATTTGTTTCTGTTTTAACCTCAATGGTTAACACTCAAGCTGATGTAAGTGCTGGCTGGTCTCACGGTGGGAATGGAAGAGTAGCCGCTCGTGGTATAGATGGATTAAGATTTCCAAAAAGAGAGGGCGAGGAAGGAGAGGAGAGGGTCCTCCTTCCCCTGGCTGGACAGCGGCTCCCTCTGGGCAGCTGTCTTCTCTACCAGCCCTGCAGGATCTGAGGCCAGGCCACGTGGGGAGGCCCACAGGCCTGAGCACGCCCAGCCTCACCCACAGGAACGAAGCCAGGACCCAGCCTGGCCAGGAGATGGAGAGACCCAGGCCAGGGCAGGAGGAAATGAGTCTCATCGGGTAGGTGTGGATCACCCCAGCCCAAAGAGCTGCTTCCAGGGTGACGTTGAGGGTGGCCCCTTCAGCTGCTGAGGACATGAGCTATCCCAGCCCACAGAGGGGACTGACCAACCCCCTGAGAAAAACAGCACCGAGCCCACACCGGCCACCATCAGCGTCACAGTGTCCCCACCCAGAAGAGCAGGAGTAATGGAGGCAGCCCTGTCACCACCCAGCCTGCCTGTTGTGCGCCCCACTCACACCTTCCCTCCCGCTGGTTCGCTTGCTGTTCTCCTGGCAGCCAGTGCTCCGCCCCTCCCTCTGAACCCTTGTCCTGTGTGTCTCGAACACCCTCTCTCCTCTGTTAGCCATCTCCCTCCCACCCCTGCAGCCAAGCCCAGTGCTCCACCCACCCCACCCTACCTTAGAAAACTTCCCACGATTGACACCAGCTCTCCCGGGCCAACATAAACACACAAACATGGCGACACACACCTCGCGCACACACACACCCAGTTTTATCTGCAGCTGGCTCGGAAGGCTTGGCACCTGCTGGCCGTTCAGAGACCACATCAAGGCCTTCAGAGAAAAAACAGACCCTCGAACCTTCTCCCCTCTCAAGAAAGCATCAGTGACAAGCACAAAAGCAGGACCAACAGGGAGACCAGGAGCAAACTCCATTGTACTCACTTGATGAAATACACAGCTCCTTTGTGGGTGGAATCCATCTCCCAGCCCTTGGGCAAGTCTGTGAGAAAGCAAAGTCACAAAATCACACTCCTGCCCATCTCAGCCCCTCAAGCCCGATCTGAACTCAGGAGAGAAGGGAGCTGGGAAACTAGAAAAATTCAGAGAAGCCAAGCGCGTTCAAACCAAGCATTTCAACCATTTTGTCGATTACTCTTATCAGTCTGTTTCCAGCAAATAGTAAGAGAGATGGTAGTAAATGGAACACCCCTTTTCAATGAGCAGTGATCAAATGAATCATCATCTTGCAGTGTTTGCTCATTCATTCAACTAACTTTGACGAGCATCTACTCTGTGTGGAGCTCTGTGCCAGCCCCCGGGGTTGCGGCAGTGAATGCACGGACAGTGGTTCCAGAAGGGTCCTCAGGGTCATCCCGCAGCCTGCTTGTATCACAGCCTCAGGAGCTGGAGCCAAGGGTGGGTCCCTTGCCCCAGGCTTCACAGATAATTAACTCCAAATTCTGCTGCTGAAGACAAGACACCAGTCCCAGGAAATCAGACATTTTAAACAATTTTTAATAGCACTTCTGGAAAAAAATTATCCATAGAAATGATCAGAGCAGAGAATCACAGACCTGTCAAGTGAGCAGGGACTGAGTAGCTGAGGAAGCTGACGCTGGCCCAGGGGTACCCGGGCTGTCCCCACTGGGAGGCTCAGCCGCGGCTGCACAGCTCCCGAGCGGAGCACCTCCTCCTCCCGAGAGCGCCCTGTGAGTCTCTGTCTCATCCTGCCTGCCCTTCCAAAACAGTCCCCTCAGCAGCATCCTGTCTCTCCAGCACAAAGGATTCCTCCACCCGCTACAGAGGTGAAGGAGGGACCTGAGGGAGTCCACTGCCAGAGGTGGGGACAGGCAGGACTCTGGGGGAGATCATTCATTTTGGGGTGCAAGAGGTCCCTGGCTGACATATTGGAAAACAGGTGTGGGATCTCTTGATAATCACTGCCACCTTTCTGGTCAGTCCAAATGCCCACCTGTGTATGAGGTTTTATAAAATATAGGTCTGGATCTCTCCAGCTGTATTATCAGCTGGGCTCTTCAGAGTGGAGAGCCCAGATTTGATTCATTCATTTTATTCATCCCTACTTATCACAGTCTATTCCCATAGTTGCTACTGATGGTAATGCTGATGCTTCAACACAGGAGAGCATCAGCAGGCCCACCTTGCCCCCAGGATCGGATCCATAGAAGTAACACCAGCTACCACTTAGTGGGCACTTCCTTGCTCTCAGCTGCGCATCTCACCACGACTAGCATTTCCTCCACACAGCAACATTACCTAATAGGCATCATCCTGAATATTTTTCAGATAAGAAAACTGAGGCCCAGAGAGGTCAGTCAACTTGTTTCAGGTCACACAGGAAGTGTCTGAGCCGGAATGTGACTTTGGTCGGCTGCCTCCAGAGCTCACATTCTTTCCTCTGTGCTGCTCCATAAATGCTACTTGTTCCCTGCTGTCCCTGTGGGAGGACATTCCCATTCAGAAGGGTGTGGGTTGGCAGCCTCCCCAAGTAGAGGGATCCCCACTGGGTCAGAATCATAAAAAATCCTGCTACTGTGATGGGCCTGGGAAAGAGGCCAGTGTGGATTATGTCCCCTGCCTTTTCCAGCAACTTCCCTCCACACTGCCCTCTCTGCCTGGGCAACACCAAGAGTGCTTATATTCTCGCCCAGGCGGAGTGCCCGCTGAGACAGCTGCCCTCCCAGCAAGCTTTGGGGGCATTTAACCCCTTCCCAGCCTGGGACGACCAGTTGGCTGCAGCCAAAAATGAAGGAGTTGGCTCACAGGCTTTACTCCTCTTCCAGGCCTATCCAGAGTGCTGATAAGGTGGAGGCGCTCAGGTGTAAACGGCTGAGACACAGAAGAACGCAACAGCACTGCCTCGGGGTCAAGGGTCAGGAGGCCTTGCTGTCTGTTGGAAACACAACACTGACAATTACAACAGCAGTCACCTCTGCTGATAGTGACTCTCTCCCATACTCTGTGCTACAGCACTTTGAGGCTCATAATCCTGTCCCCATTTTACAGAGGAGGAAGCTGAGTCCTGGAAAAAGTATTGCTTGAGGCCACGCTGATAGAAAGTAGAGCCAGGACACGAGCCCAGGTCTGTCTATTCCTACAATGTCTGCATTTAGCCCGGATTCCGCTTTCCTTACTAAGTGGCCTTGAGCCAGGGACTGTGCCTCTGCTCTCCAACTTCCCTACTTTAAAATGAAGTAGGATCCTTAGACTCCAGGATCCCTGACATCCCTCCCAGCTCTAAAAACACAACAATTCCAGCCTGGAATCCAAAAGAAAGTAGGCTGGAGCAAGTCAGCAGCTTACCCCAGTGTGCCCAGCAGTGCCACCGCGCCCAGGGGCGACCCAGCCGCTTAGAACCACGTGCCTGCCCTGTGGTCAGGAGAAGGGCTGGAAGGCCAGTGGGGATGGGCCTATGGTGGCCTGAAGAGGACAATCGGGTGTTCACTTGAAGTACCCCTTCTGATTGGGGTACTTCTGATGGGCCTTCTGATTCTTTGTGTCTCCATCTCTTCAATTTAGACTGAAATCTTTGCCTGCGCCTGTTCCCCCACTTCCCACTAGCCTGGATACTCCCTGAGGGCCTGGAATGAGTCTCCTGCCCAGGAAGCGATCCATGTGGGTACTGTCCCCTTTTCTTCCAGTTCCCCCATGTGAAGGAGTTCCCACTTATGTTAAATTTAACTTAATCAAAATTTAAAATTCAGTTCCTCGGTCACACTAATCGCATTTCAACTGCTCGGTAACTGCCCGAGGCAGATGGTGACTCCACAGACAGCAGAGAGCGAGAGCATGCCCGTCATGGCAGTTCTGGGGCACAGCTCTGGGTGCTGCCGCTCTGCCCAGTTCCCGGGCTCTCAAAAAGGAGGGGATTTGCTGATTGAGCAGAGGATGAGCAAGGAGTAAAATCTTTGTTCTCAAAGGTCTCCCCCAGATACTAATCACTGAGCTGGAGGCGCGGAAAGACCCAAGCCTGTGCATGAGCCCTCCTGCAATTTCCCCCAGGTTGGGGGTGTGATGTTCAGCCGAGTCTGTCCGTGGAGAAAGGAAGTGTCAGGAGCAAGGTCCCACTGCCACCTCAAGCCATTATTTCCTTTCCTTTTCTTTTTTTTAAATATTCTATTTATTTTAATTTTAGAAAGAAGGGAATAGAGGGAGAAAGAGAAGGAAAGAAACATCAATGTGTGTGGTTGCCTCTTGAGCGCCCCCAAGGGGGACCCGGCCCACAACTCAGGCATGTGCCCTGACTGGGAATGGAACCCATGACCTCTTGGTTCACAGGCCAGTGCTCAATGCAATGAGCCACACCAGCCAGGGCCATTGTTTCCTTTTTGAATGAAAGGCAGGGACAGATGAGCTTCTTACCTGGGCTGGAGCAGTGTCCGCTCTGGATGGGTGATTTCGTACCAGGATGCACCCAACTGGTTGACTTTTCCTCATCGCTATAGAAAACCAATAAGCAAGTGTCAGATTCAAGAAAGGCTTCCCTGAGCGGGACCCATCTCCAAAATCACATCAACACCGACTGTCTGATCCCAGCCACCCAAGGCAGGAGCACCCACGTTTCATTCATTCATTCCTATTCACAAAGCATTTACTGAGCAGGCTCTGAGGATTCAGCGAGGAGTGATATCTGATCCCTGACCTCAAAGAAACAAACATATAAAAAGATAGGTGCAAAACATAATGTTGTATGTCAATTGTATTTCAATTTTTAAAAATAAAATAAAAGGGTAGTTACAATACAGTGTTATGGGCCGTATACTCCTTATTACAGCTGTGCACAGAGAGTGCACACCATCCCGGGGAAGGAGTGGGGGAAGAAGAACAGCGTGGGGGCTTCCCTAAAGAGGTGGCATCTGAGGTGATGGTGAAGTCACGTGGGAAGAACAGGACAGGTTCTTCCTTAAGTGGCAGCTGCTCCATGGATGAGAAAGCAGGAGGCCGGTAAACCAACAGTCCTTGGGTGCCTGCAATGCTATGTATTTTCATGTACAACATTCCTTCATATTAGGAATTTTACAGATGATGAATGTGAGCTTCAGAGGGGTGAAGTTATTGGCCCAAAGTCACCCCATCAGTAAGTGAGGAAGCCAGGGTTCAGACCCAGATCCATACCCCTCCAACCTGAGTGTTTTCTAGTATCTACTCCCAACAAAGTGGACTCCCCAACGACGCAGATCCTCTGGGCTCTAGCCTCCAAGGGCAAATGGACCTTTGATATTTCTCAGCCCTTACCAACCAAGGGACACTGACTTTTCCAGAGCTGTGAAATACTTAACCTTGGCCAGTCCAAGAAGGAAAGGACTCTCAGATCCCCTGCATCGTCCAGGCTGGGGGCAGGGGCTGGGGGGAGACAGGGGCGGGGGGCAGGTCCCTGGGGCCCGGGACCGGTCTACACTCAATGCTTTTAAGGTATAATTAATACATTAATTGATATAACAAACTCCACTAAGAAAGACTCACAAAATTTTTAATGAAGCAAGATATATAATAAACTGCCCATATTTAAAATGTACAATTTAATTTAAAGTTTTAACATAGTATATACCCATGAAACTACCACAAAAATCAAGAGGTAAATTCCCTTAAACTTTCTTTGTGCCCTTTTGTCATTCATCTCTACCCCCCACCACAGTTTCTGCTATCCTCCCCCTCCCCCCAACAACTAACCTGCTTCCTATTACTATACATTAGTTGGCATTTTCTAGAGTTTCTAGGGTGTTATGTCAATGAATCATACAAACTAGATGTCTTTCCTCCTCCCTTCCCTCCCTTCCTTCCTCTTTCCCGATCCGCCTTTCTCCCTCCCTCCCTCCCATGTGGTAACACGTGTTAATAGTTCATTCCATTTCATTACTGAGTAGCATTCCGTTGTAGGGGATCCCATGGTGTGTTCCTCCACTTGCTTGTTGATAAACATCGTGGTTGTTTTCAATTTGGGGCCATTCCAAATGAAGCTGCTCTGAACACTCGTGTCCAGGTCCTTGTGTGGACACAGGCTTTCTTTTCTTTTGACTGCACTAATTTTTCTCTAGGTTGGACACCCTCTGCAGGAGACTTCCCAGCTGACCCACCCTTCTAATGAGGAAAGCAGAGAAGAAACAAAGTCGCTGCCCTGGTGCTCTTTGGGCCCTGGAGACATTGTGCACCCTGCAAGATGACCCCTGCGCTGGGCTTTGGTCTGGGAGGCGATGGGAGAGGCACCTGAGGCAGGGGAAACCCCCGCCAGAGCCGAGCTGTAAGTGTGAGGGGGCCGTTCGTTCTCTCACCTCCTCTCCTGCTGCCCTAAGACTTTCTGCCCCTCCCCCGTCTCCTGCTCTCACAAGGACGGCTCCCAGTTTGCCTGGATACCATGAATAATCACGAGGTCACTGGTGTGGGCACAGCCTCACCACACCCTCAGCTTCCTCTTCCCCTTGTCCTTCCCTATGTCGAGCCCTGGTCCAGAACACTGCGCTCGCAGGCTCTCTCCTCTCCAGCTTTGGGCCGATGGGGAAACTATGAAACTGGGAAGACTGATGCAACTGCAACTCCACAGTCCCCAAGCTTGGCTGGGCCCTAAGCACCACCTAGAATTTTCTTTAGGGGCCCCAGTCAGTTGCTATTTGCAGATTGTTCTAAAGTTTTCCCACCAACCTCAACCTCTCACCTGCCTCTCCTTCCCATCCCCTACCCCTTCTCAATTAATATCTTATCTCTTAATTCAAGAAAAAAATAGTGCCCTGACTGATGTGGCTCAGTGGGTTGGGTGTTGCTCCACAGACTGAAAGGTCAGCTCTGGTTCGATTCCCAGTCAGGGCACATGCCTGCATTGCCGCCCAGGTCCCGGTTTGGGGGCATGCGAGAGGCAACCGTGCTCCCTCTTGATTCTGCCTCCTCTTCCACCTCCTCGTGTCTCATGCTCCTATTTTTATTGACCAAATATCTTTTTTGGAAACCAGTTCCTTCTAGTTGTCCCCACTCCCTGGTCTCCCACTCAGCAATCCCTGCAACTTGGTCTGTTTATAACCTTCCCCTGAAACTGTTTTCCTCCTCCCCCTCCGCCCAATTCCTAAATCCAGTAGGCACTTTTGACTTTTCCATTGTTGACCCTTGACCCTTCCTTCTTTCCTGACATCCCTCCTCCTCGCCATCTGGGGTAGCACCCTTCCCTGGCCCTGGTGCTATCCACCTCTGTGACCCCTGGGCCTTCTCCTCCACCCTCTCTTCCTCTAATCTTTCTTTAAATGCTGGTGCTGCCTGGGTACCCCCGGTCTTTCTCCTGTTCTTCTGCGGGGGGGTCCACTTCTACATGATGACTCTCAGGACTCTCCAGCCCAGGCCTTTCTCTTCAAACTCTATCTTATTAGACATCACCTCCTGAATATCCCACAGGGGCGTCAAATTCAATTAATTCTCCCCCTAAAATCCATTCGTCCTCCCATACTCCTGGTTTCTGTCAAAATGAAGTTAACAATTCTGACATGATGTACCTCCCATTCTTCCTTTTCCCTCTCTTCCCCAACATTCAGGCAGTACACGAATGCTCTCAGTTCCACTCCTAAAGATGTCTCCCATCTCTCCCTCCCCTTCTTTTCTGTTCTCACCACGGAAAGAAATTCAGGTCCCCATCACCTGTCTCCAGGACTTTTTCAATTGCTTCCTAACTGCTCTCCGTACCTCAAGTTTTCCCCCGCCTCCATCTTCAACCCTGAAATCATCTCCCGTCCATGCGGCTGCCAGAGAGAGCCTTCTAAAATGCAGCTCTATGTCAGTTCTCTGTTTAAAATCTCCTTTGGCTTCCCTTCACCTACAAAGTCAGGTTCGGACCCTTAGCCTACCACCCAAGGCCTCTCCAAAGGTGCCCCTTTCCTCCTTCTGCCTTGTCTTCTGCAGCCTCCTCTCTGTCTCTAGAGACCCCTCAGCATGTCCTACACAACCTGTGGCCTGGCACCCCTCAGGGCCCCCCTTCCCACAGGCCTCTGCGGCAAGGCCCCTCTCCCTCTAGTCTCTCTCCTGTAGAAGCAGCTCAAAAGTTTCCTCCTGGGGAGTCCTCCCTCAGCTCCCCAGAAAACATTAGTTCTTTCTTTCTTATATTCCTGGAGCATCATGCAAATACCTCTAGAATGTATCCTATTATTTTCTAAGTGTTTATTTACATTTTCTTTCTACTCCCTTCAAGGAAAAACCTGTGTCTTATTTTTTTTTTTTTTAATCTCCAATGCCTAGCTCTATGGCAGACAAATAGTGGAGACTCAATAAGTGTTAGTGGAATGAATGGAGAAAGAAGCTGAAAGGCAAAAAAGAGATTGGAAAGAAAGAAGAGAAGAGTCAAATTAATATTTCATCAGAATAACTGAAGTACTTGTGGAAATTCAGGTTCTAAGGCTCCATCCCAGGTGGTCTGAACCAGAACCTCTGCAGGTAGGTTCAGGATTGGCCTTTTTCATAAATCTTATGGGCAATGAAGTCTCAAACCATTGACAGAAGAAACTCCAGTTTTAATACTGGGGAAGTTCTGTTATTTAAGAATCTAACCCAGGGTTAGGAATTTTAGTGGAGTTAATTTCTTAGATAACCTAATTACAGACTTAATTATGATAATAGTGATGATAATTACAGAAGAAAGGCCTACAGCAAATGTGAAAACAGAAACGCCAAAGAGAAACCACTGGCTACCTGCTAAGGCAGTTTAGGACCAGGAAAGGCAATGCACTGAAGTCAGCAGCTACCGGACTCAGTCTGAGCTCTGCTTAACACGTGGCTTCATCTCTGATGAGACTCGGCCTCGGAGGCCCTTGCCTCCCCATCTGAAAAAGGAGGCGGTTGTGCCCGAGATCCCTTCAGCTCCAATGCCCTGCGAGCCACTACCTTGAGGGAGGGACGACTCATCCTGTGTGGGTAACAGCTCAGAATGCTGTGCCTGTCGACTTGCGATCCTATTGGGAGATTTCTATCCTGGCAAAAGATGACTACAGTGGGAGCGGGCCAAAATAGCACCAGCGGGGCCACTCTGTTATAATGAGATTACGCCAAGGCCATTTTGGTTTATGAAATTAATATAACAGTGCTAATATATTACTGAGAGCAGCAAAGGCTCCCTCTCTCTAAAGAATGCTGAATGTGCTGTGGGTATCCTCTCCTTCCCCTTGACCACAGCCCCATCAGGAAGCAGGAAAGGAGAGGTTGTGTGCTCGGGAACACTGCGAACGGGGCATAGAGGCTGGGTCCCCTGGTAGTTTGTCGGTTAGCCCAAGTGTTCCCTTAGGAGGGGGGATGTGGGGCAAGAAAGAAAGAAAGAACTCGCCCCTGGCCCTTTCAGCGGCCTGTGCTGAGCTGAAAGAACTGCAGGCTGGGCCCCGGGTCTAGTCATCCTCCTCAGAGCCCCCTCCCCATCTGTGACTGGGGCGGGGCGGGGCGGGGGGGGGTGGGGCGGTAGCGAAGGCCATCACCTACCCTGCCTGGCCCTGCCCTTCCAGGCGTCAGGAAGCTGAACCTGTGCTGGACTTTGATCCGCTAGGGAAAAGGCGGGAGACCCATTCCAACAGGCATGGTGATAAACTTATTAGTCATGCCCGTTGTTCCAGCCACCACTTCCCACTACCACCGCAGCCAGCAGCCAGCCCCCAGCCCTGCCACCTTTCAAGTTGGACAACTTTAAAGAAATAAAACATAAACGAGACAGACAACATACTTGATGAAGAAGATTCTCCCACCCTGGTCAACTCCATAGGTCCACCGGCCCGGCAAGTCCAGCCAGTCAACATCATCGGCCATCTCGGTGTCCCGCTGCCCCTCTGGCTCTCCAGCCACGCGAGTGCTGCGCTGGCAGGGGCTTCCCACCCGCAGCCCCCACTTTCAGCTTCTCCTAGAAGCAGTGATGGGGCGAGGAGGGGTGTCTGTTGCGGGTGCAGCCCCAACTGGCGGCGTCCCTCCGGGTCCGTGGTAGTGGCTCCGGCCTCTCCCTGAAGGCAGCTGGCCGCCAGCCGGGCAGCAAGGAGCCGGCAAGACTTAACCCTAGCGGGGCCGAGCGTGCTCAGCGCCGCCCAGCCCGAGCCCCGCCGCTCTGTGCCTCCAGCTCGAGTCCCGACTCCTCTTCGGACGCCTGTGAACTTGGGGACTGGAGATCCGCGCGGTGAGAGTTCGGACGCTGCCGGCCTGGATCGCTCAGGGCAGCGCAAGCTCTCAGCGCCTCCTGTTCCCAGCGGCCAGCAGCTTGGCGGCCGAGCAGGGAGCAGGTTGCTGTGTGAGCGAGGGGTGTTTCCTCACCGGCCCAGCTCCCAACCCACACTTGAACCTGCGGCGGGAGGGGAGGCGGAGCCAGGGCACCGCCTGCGAAGGTAATTCGCAGCCAGAATGACCGCAGCGCACAGGTCCCCAAGTCCAGATCCAGGGCGCCGGGAAACCAGTTTGGCTGACAGCTTGGAACCACGAACTTGACGGACATGTCCAGCCACTGAATGGAAAAGGGGCCGTGGTCAAACCTGGTTACACTTGGCGGGAGGTTAGCAGAGGAACAAAGGTCAAATTCAGGGAAGGGTGGTGGCAGGGGTGTGGGCAGCGAGGGGCCCTAGGAGACTCCTCTTGCTAAGATGCCAGCCTCGTTAGTCAAGCTAGTCCTTACCTTTCTTGCTGAGCACTTCCTCCAAGAAGCCTGCCATGACTAAGTAGAATCAGAGGACAGTTTAGAAACACACTCAGAAACCAACAGTTTTTATGTGCCTTCCCCTTAACTTGCAGCAGAAAAGGAAAAGGAACCCAAACAAAAGCAGAGGAGTGTGTGCCCTGTGCACAGGACACAGGCTTCAAGCATTCAATGGTGGTATATCAAAAATGCTGCTGCTGGAGCTCACAGCTCTCCAGTCTCGGGCTGTTGTCAAAGCTGGGCTCCAGTCAGCTTTCCCAGCTTAGGCACGACCTTCCCCTGGGGCTTCAGTTAGGTACACACTGTTCCAGTCCCCGTGTCAGACCCAGTGGAAGAGACAAGGGGGGAGATGCCTGTATTTAGAGGCAGCAATGTGTCCCATGGCAGTTGGCAAGTATCTGGTGAGTGAGCATCCCTACTGTGAGCACCAGAAGGGAACGGATCCCTGCTCCACCCAGGTAATTCCTATTCACCCCTTCAGTGTCTGCCATGTGTTACCTCTTCCGGGAAGCCAGTCTCAACTCCACCAAGGACATATTAATGTGCCCATCCTCTATGTGTCAGGCAGCTTTATGAATAACCCTATAATGGAACTTATCACTCTGTAAAGCAATCCTTGATTTATTCATCTGTCTCCTTCACTGGGCTGTGTGCACCTCAGGGCAGGACCTTCATTGCATTTACCTGTCTAGCACCTACCTGGAGTACCCAATTCATGTTTGATGAATGACTGATACTGGCATAACTGGGTACAACTCAACTCTAACCACAATCCTGCACTTTGGGACCTCATTTAGGGTCCTGGTAAATTTCACCATCGGCAACATCAGGGTGTGTGGGGAGAGAGCTTTCTGGGGAAATAAAAACCAATGAGCCTTACAGGTATCCCAAATGCTCAATATGGAGGGCATAATGTGTGTGCTTCAGATAGTGAAGCTAGAAGTTGCCTCAGAGAACATCTGGTCCAATCCTCTTGTTTCAATATGGGGAACTAAGGAGCAAAGAAGAAAAGGTGCCGGTTAAGGTCACTAAGCAAGGGGGTCACAGAGAAGAATCTGCCCACCAGCATCCCAGGCCAGAGTTCTTTCTAGTACGTTGTTCTACAACACTGGAAATCACCCTCCCAACGTATAAACAGGCTGATTCCTGTGTGGCAGGTGTAAGCTGAGCATGTTCTCCAAATGCAGAAGAGGGACAGAAATCATAACACCCAACTCTTTTCACCCTTTCCAGATCCTACAGGTTTCTAGCAGAGAAAGCAGAGCCACACCTGACAATCACAGATGAGTATCTATTGCCCTTAGTTTCTGAACCAGCTGGGGTGAGAGGGCTAAGGGATGACTCTTCACCAGTCCCCAGTCTCTAGTCCCCAGCCTTGTGAAACACCTGTAGGACTAATCCCACTGATAAAGCACAGAGCCACCTGCCCAGCCCCTGTGATATTGGAGGATCTGAATCCAGAATTGCTGCCAAGATGCCTCCAGGGAAAATACCGGCAACCAGTGTGCTCCCGGTCCAACCTGAGCAACCAGTAAGGGCGGCTGCTCGGGCTGAATGTGGGTGGAAATAGGGGACAAAATGACATATCTTTGAAAACATGTATTCGGCCGTTGTCTTATTTAAGCAGTAGGAGCTCCTGTTGTTGAGACTTCTTCACAGGAGTTTCGTCTTGTTTATCTCTAATGTAGGCTCAGGTCCCTGGGAACATTTACCTAGTCAAGAAAAAGCCAGTGGTTGAGATTTTGAATGTTTTTATTCATTTGATTTTTTAAAAATCAGGTTTGAAAATAGCTTTCTGTGATGTATTCTTGCCAGTGACTTTTTCCATTCGAGTTTTTGTTTTAAATTATTATCAATATCAATACAGTTGACCCTTGAACAACATGGGGGTTAGGGTACCAACACCCTGCATAGCTGAAAATCCACATATAACTGTTTTTTCAATTATAGTTTACATTCAATATTATTTTGTATTAGTTTCAGGTATACAGCATAGTGATTAGACAATCATATACTTTACTGCATATAACTTTTGACTCCCTCAAACTTAACTACTAATAGCCTACAGCTGACCAGAAGTCCTACTGTTAACATAAACAGTCAGCTAACATTTATTTTGTATGCTATAGATGTTGTTTGTTTTTCCCCTGCAGCAAATGTTATTTTACTTCTAAAAAGCAACAAATCATGTGGATAAACTATATCAGTAGTATTTAGAAATGATTCTCATTCTTTCATACATTTTGAGACCTTAGTCTAGTCACTTAAATATTACTATAACTCTAATTTCGTACCTATGGTAGGTAGACCCATGGCACCTCAAAAGCTGTCCATATCGAACTCTGAAATCTAAGTGTGTGACCTTATTTGGAAAAATGTTTTTGCAGATGTAATGAAGATAAGGATCTTAATGAAATTATTCTGGATTATTTGGGTGGATCCTAAATTCAATGACAACTGTCCTTATAAGAAAAAGGCCAAGAAATATTTGAAAGGACAGAAGAAGAGGAGATAATGTGACCACAGAAGCAGACATTAGATTGATGCAGCCACAACTCAACGAAGGTTGACAGGCACCAGAAGCTGGAAGAGGCAAAGAAGGAATTCTACCCAAGGGCCTCCAGAGGGAGTATGGCCCTGTCAGTGCCTTGATTTCAGACTTCTGGCCTCTAGAATTGTGAGAGAACAAATTTTTATTGTTTTAGGCCACCCAGTTTATGGTAGTTTGTTATAGCAGCCATGGGAAATTAGTAGAGTACTTACAAGAAAAGCATAACTTAATGAGGACTGACATTAATATCTATTATTTTCATTTGTCTAATATCCAATCTCCCTTCTTCTGTCACTAGCCCCCTGAGTTTCCTTTTGACATCTATCCTTCTGCCACTGTCAGCCCATGTAGGCTGAATGGGCTGGCTCCAATCCCACCCCAGCTCCATTGGAGAATGGGGGCTGTGACACAAAAGAGGCCGATCTGGTTCTCTAGTTCCCCGGACATAGTGATTGGTTCAGGAAAAGCCACATGACTCACACCAAACCAATGAGATTCAGTTTTAAGAAGATCCCAGAATTCTTGGGAAGCCTTTTTTCTCTTGGACGTGGAGCTGGCATGTGTCATTTTAGTGCTGCTGGAGTCTTCATGTGAGGACAGCCTACTGAAAGTGAAGCCAGTATAGGAAAAAGTGGAGCCAGAAGATGAAGGGAGACTGGGTCCCCCTTTTATCCCATGAGCCCTAGAACCCAGCTTCCCAGAAAAGGCTCTATCCCTAGAATTTCAGCTTGTAGGTGCCAATAAATACCCTTATTTGCTTCAGCCAGCTTGACTTGGGTTTCTACCTGTAACTACGGAAAAGTCCTGACCAGTATAAAGGTCACATCGTCTTGTGTCCTTGACCATTTCTTTGGCATAACCAATGCTTCTTTGGGAAAGCCCATGAGATAACCACCTGCATTTCTAGTGACATGAGAATAGGAACTCTCCTCTTTCAAGGAGACCACAATTTTAGATCAAGAAAGGGTCTTAGTGGTCATCTAGTTCAGAGCCTACATACTGGAGAACACTGGAGAACTCAGGGGAAGTACCCAGAGTCGTGGCAGTTCCATAGTAGAAAGCTGTATTTCAAGCCATTTGCTTCATCATTTAAATATATTTGGTGAAGCTCTGGCTGGTGCTGCTCAGTGGTTTAAGCACCGGCCTGTGAATCGAGAGGCTGCTGGTTCGATTCCTAGTCAGGGCACATGTCTGGGTTGCAGGCCATGTCCCCAGTAGGAGGCGTGAGAGAGGCAGCTGATCAATGTTTCTCTCCTCTTTCTCCTTCCCTTCCTCTCTCTCTAAAAATAAATAAATAAAATCTTTTAAAAAACTAAAATTTTATATATATATATATAAAATTTGGTGAGAAACTCATACTTATGAGATTATAATAGATTCTGTACTCTATAAAAGAATAACCACAACAGTAATTTTTATTGAGTGCTGGTGTTTAATAATTGTATTCACTGCAGGCTAGGTCACTGGTGATTTTCTTACAGGAACTAGGAAGCAAAGGAAGAGAAGTCAAGGGCCACATCTTCTGGGAATAGATACATGATGGTATAA